TTCGTTACCCCTTGCCCTCTTCCTTGTTCCTGATGCTATGGAGGGTGGCTGGGGCTGGTTGGGGGAGGGGTGTGTGTATGTTTCGCCTCCGTCATCGACGTGCCTGCCCTAATTGACGTGCCTGCCCTAATTCTCATGTTCCCATCCACGTGCTGCACGTGCAGCAGGCCTCGGACGATGGGGATGACGTCCAGCCGGGAATGGAGGTAAGATGGGGAGGAGGGTCAGGGCTCTTATGTGTTTTACGTGGGGCATCAAAATGCTGTCGTACTCCGATATGGCTATCGGAGTATGGCAGATTTGTTTGATGCAGGCAGGTAGTTGTGGGGCACAGCTGTGCCAGGGTCGTTTTTCTTTGTGGATTCGTTACCCCTTACCCTCTTTCTTGTTCCTGATGCTATGGAGGGTGGCTGGGGCTGGTTTGGGGAGGGGTGTGTGTATGTTTCGCCTCCGTCATTGACGTGCCTGCCCTAATTGACGTGCCTGCCCTAATTGACGTGCCTGCCCTAACTGACGTGCCTGCCCTAATTGACGTGCCTGCCCTAATTCTCATGTTCCCATCCACGTGCTGCACGTGCAGCAGGCCTCGGACGATGGGCCGACGTCCAGCCGGGAATGGAGGTAAGATGGGGAGGAGGGTCAGGGCTCTTATGTGTTTTACGTGGGGCATCAAAATGCTGTCGTACTCCGATATGGCTATCGGAGTACGGCAGATTTGTTTGATGCAGGCAGGTAGTTGTGGGGCACAGCTGTGCCAGGGTCGTTTTTCTTTGTGGATTCGTTACCCCTTGCCCTCTTTCTTGTTCCTGATGCTATGGAGAGTGGCTGGGGCTGGTTTGGGGAGGGGTGTGTGTATGTTTCGCCTCCGTCATTGACGTGCCTGCCCTAATTGACGTGCCTGCCCTAATTGACGTGCATGCCCTAATTGACGTTCCTGCCCTTATTCTCATGTTCCCATCCACGTGCTGCACGTGCAGCAGGCCTCGGACGATGGGCCGACGTCCAGCCGGGAATGGAGGTAAGATGGGGGGGAGGGTCAGGGCTCTTATGTGTTTTACGTGGGGCATCAAAATGCTGTCGTACTCCGATATGGCTATCGGAGT